CAGTTTTACTTTTTCAGATCAGTGGTAGGTTGGCAATTTAGTTTAGTTCTCTAATGTTTGGGATGAATACAACTTGAGAGGGGTTAGTACAACCATCAGACAACGCAAATATTAAGAAACATTAAGAATGCTTATTAAGTTCGTCAGTGATTCTTTTTATATAACTGACAAAACCAAGCCAGTCCATTGGCTTCAGTTATCACAATCGGTATTAAACTGAAATAAAGGTTTCTAGTGGGAAACCGAAACAGTCCGCAGATCGCTGATGGATATGTATTCCAATAGAGGTTTCAACAGCCTAGTGTATGGAGTCTGAGTATGCTTACCATCAAGATGAAAGCTCTCGCACTGTTGAGCTTTCTTTTAGTCTGACCATCTAACAAACGTGTGCTTACGCAATTGTAGCACATTGTCTCGGTTTTCCTCAGACTGTGACAAACCGATCGTTAGTTAGGCTGCGATTCTTCACGGAGTTTACGATCGGAAAGGAGGCACTTTAACAAAAGCTACCAGAAATGAACTTTTGTGTTTAATTTGGCGGAATGTCTGCGTGAAGTTTACATTGGCTTGTAACGTCAGTATCCACGCGAGCATCCTGTCATTAACACGCAGGTGATGCAGTTGGTCAAACTATCATTGTAGTGCGACCGCCTAGTGTGATAAAAATTGAAGAAGCTACATAGCCCCTTTCCAAACTCAATCTACTTCTCTTGTAGCACTGCAAGCACTGCAGTGTCAGTGAGCCACATAAACGTTACTTTAATCCGCAATTAATTTCTTCCGTATGCGTATGCAAAGTACATCGAGCCTAACAGTCCTCAGTCACATCACCCTAATATATGTTCATCTTTTCAATGCTTGACTGTTACCATGATGTCTCACCTAGTAGCTTCCCAGCTAATCAGTACACCGCCCAACTGGACTCTCAGCGATTGCGCATCCATTTGTGAGGTCAGTTCGTACCTTTCAACTGTCGACACCAGAAGACTTCAAACAAAACTCACAACTCCCTCCAAATTAATGCATAGTGGGTGCACTTGTTTGCCGGAACACCCGATGAATCAGTGACCCTAAGGACAACCGGTGACCTTGGATATGCGCACATAGGTAGTTTGGATCAGTCACCGTAAATAGGTGCAACTGGACGTTTGGCCCCATCTCAACGAACGAAGAAGTTTTGCCGGTGGGTGCGGGCTCCTGGTAGTAATCTACGGGTAATAAGTCACCCCGATGTAAAACGCTTGGTTTTTAAAGGTGACAAAATGGAGCCAGGTTGCTTCCTTGTCTGCGTTCCTTCGCCTACGGATCACGGATTTAATCATGCAGTCAATATCACCTAACATGACACGATACCAGGCAAAACGCTCCTAACTGTAGCTGCTCCCATAGCGATTCAAAATTCCTCATTCATAACGGGTGGAGCATGCGGCGCGCCTATATGTCGCTCCGATTCATAGTAACATCCATTAAGCATCGTGCCACAGAATGCTGACTTCTTAGTGTGTCGGGATGCCTCGAGGGTTGGAAAAGCCCCCGTTTCTCTGCCCGTGTCAAACACCACTTCCTTAAGAGCTGAGGACTGATTAGGTAGCTGGTTGTTCGACCCCCACAGTTGTACCCATCGGTGTGAGTGGTTCATACAACTATTAGAAGGCGTGCCGTCTTACGTGCAGCATTAATCAGGAAATCATGCCAGCTTCATTCAGACTTGTAGCTACCCAGTCACCCACACACTTCACTGTTCAGCTTACAGTCGCTCACTGGATCACCAGACTTGTTTTATTCATACTCAAACCACGTCATATTAAGCTGACTTATCGGACCCCGACTGTCTGTATCGTCTAGTCAGCGTAGCAACTACTCATGTGCTGACGCGCCCACGTACACGCAAATGGACCATATAGGGAAACCGAGCACAGTCAGCACACAGCGCGCGCAGGGAGCAAGTTGTCATCCAAACACTCCAAGTCCACGGACAATTATGGAGTACGTGTAGCAGCCAAACTGCGGAGAAAACACGATCGCTAAACATTCATTCTCAATGGTCGAATACTTCTGTTCAGCGTTAGTCAGGACACGACTGGCATATTCGACAGCTCCATTCCTCTGCTTTAGGACTGCGTCGATACCGTGATCACTAGCGTCCGTTGAGACAGTGAACATCTCTCCGACCCTGGGCAGTTTGAGGGGTTAGTTGCGATCCAATATCTGCGCTTTGACACGCCCAAAAGCCTCATGTGCTTCTCCGGTTCATTTGAATTTCCGATTTTGCCCGAGCAAGCATCGTGTTGAAATCCTTAACGAACCAGCTGTAGTATGCTGTTCATCCAAGAAACTGCCGTAGAGACCGCTTTGAATTGGAAACAGCACAATCCTTGATCTTCGCCAATATTTCTGGCAGTGGGATAGCCTCTCCGTGACCCACTTTATACCACAGCAGTGTCACCGAACTCCGAGCGAGCTATCTTGGCTTCGTTTATCCGCAGGCCAGCCTACCGGACCCACTTCAATACAGTGAACTGCGTGCTCTAGTTCCGAATCGCTATACACGACGATATCGTCTCCGTACACGGCAACATTCTGGAGTCCCTTCGTTAAACGAGGCATCAAGCGCAGGAATGTGAATGGTGCCCCAGACAAGGCAAATGGCATTTGTCTAAATTGATATTGGATGTTTCCAACCGTGAACGCCGTTTTCTCCCGGTCCTCCGCCTTGATAGGTAGTTGCCAGTATCCGGAACGCAAGTCGAACACAGTGAAGTATCGGGAGTGCTGGAGAAAATCGAAAATCTCCGCAACTGAAGGCACAGCTGCAACCCAGATTACGGTCTTTTCATTCAGGCGCCGAAAATCCACGTAAAACCCGTATTTTCCGTTCGCCTTCCTTACGAGCACAACTCAGGAGTCGTACGCACTACCTGAGTTGTTTGATACGCTTCTGCTGTTTTCGACTATTTGTGAACAAACAAGTTATGTAGAAGTTGTCAGTATTTAAAGCTAGGGATGAAAAATCTAAGTTGAAGCGTTGTAGAATCGCATCCTGCCGCAGCAATGGCCTCACCAGGGCGAAATTCGGGATATATCCTTATTCTAGAATGAACTATTTCTAGTTCCTAATTACATCTAAGAACTATGAGTTTATGACTTCGTAATTATCTGGACCACCTTGGGTGAGGCTAAAATATTTTCCATTTAGTTGCAGGAAGATTTCCACCTGTTTTAAACGCACTGGCGAAAACAAACTTAATTTAGTCCGATTACATAGGCCAGGTACATAAATGATATTGAAGAAAAGCTGGTATGGTAGTTAAAAGTGGTTATGAACCTTGAACTTCAACAGCAGAAGGCTGACTCCCGTTAAATATGCTTGATTTATTCCAGTTAGGTAAAAGTGCGACTGACCAAATTTGGTTTGTGATCTGCACCGGTCATCATGCATGGTTCATCGACTTTCTATAAGGTGACTGATTGAATTTAAACATGTTTTCTCATCTGAACAAACGTTGGACTATGAAATTCTGCATACAGTGCCACTTCTTTTAGTCAACAAATTCCAAATTTCAGTTAGCCCTTGCGCCAAAATGTGAGTGCTCACTGAATGCGATAACCAATGCAGGCAGCAGCAAAATTAGAGACTGAAACTCAGACAAACCTACATAAAAGGTCGCGGATGATCATCATGTACAAGGTTGTTCACTTTAAGACAGTTTTTTGACTGTACGATATTTTCAGACTCCAATAACCTCACACGGGGTGCGAAATAGTCATTCTGGACAGTTTGAAAAGAAACTGGTGAATGTTAGTTCACTATTAGAAGAGCACAGAGATTCTTGCGCCTGGAGAAACCAGGTAACCTAAATTCGAGTATCCTATTTTTAATCAGTCCAACGTACTCTGTGGCGGCGTACATAGCGTACATATCGTAATTCGTGAAAAAGCACGTGGCCACTGATCTCTGAGAGGCAACAAGGCCGTTGAAACAGTCCAGAGGAAGGACCCTGAATGTCCATATTTTGGGTAGTTTAGGATGGTCGGGCTACCCTAGAAAGGCGCATTCGCTGTCACAGCAGCTTCAGCAAATTGAAAATTAACTCCCATTACAGGGTCACTTGCTGGATACGGCTGTTCGCTGGGAAATAGCGTTTCACAAGCACAAACTGCTAACCATTTCTAAGGTAGGTTCAGAGGAGGCATACAAAATCTATTTTGGTTTGACGCTTGTATTTCCATTCGGTGCCAAATACGATTTGTTTGACTTCCTGCCCAGTGAAACGTACTTGCCAGCCACCAACAATTCACTACATGCGCCAATCTGATTCCAGGTGCTACAGTACCCGCACTTGAACTGTACTTTGGTACGATAAATCGCCAACTGTTGACCCCATGGCTATATACAAGTTGCACATAAGATTTCAACAGCCAACCTAACATAAGGGTTTGAATCGAAGTAACGCTCACTGACAGAGAAATATCCATTGCGGGTGCTTTGACTGTTCAGTTGGAACTGCAATAGCAGTCTGGAGAGAATGGCACGGCTGGACACTAACATTTGAGTGGCTGTCACGTAGGTGCAACTTGGCAAGTGATTACAGATTGTGCAATCAGTGGTAAATTTGTTGACTACGAGTCTGATCCATTAATTTGGAAAAGAAGTGTGCACACCCAAGGTTGCTACTTCCGTGGAGGTTCCATAGCTTTTAAAAAAACCATCGATTCCTGAAACAGAACAAGAAGCTTTTGCAATGAATCTTCAAACGTTTTAAGATGCTTCGTTTCCTGGATGACCCGGGGGACTCTCTTGATGTCAAAAAGAATCGCGATGGTAAAGTTGATGGCGATGGTGACGATACTGATGACAACAATGACGAGGACTGTGGTGATGATGGCGGTAATGATGCCATGACGACGACGATGATGATAGCAGTTGACTATTACCCTCTGATCCCACACTAAGACAGCTTACTACTGAGTTCAAAGATGTACATTGCATGGAGTAGTTGCAGACCTTGTTAATTGTTTATTTATTGTAGATGGAGCCACACAATTGACAACGACAAACGTTACATAATCTAGCCAGTAGAAAAATGCTGGCTGAACGCTTGTCAGTTTCTTTAATTAAGTTAACAATCAAGAATCAACTTCATCGCATCGGTCACATTTCAGCCAGATCAACTGGTACTGGATCGTGAACAGAATGAAAATAGAATGTCACTTGAAATGCTTCAGTTACATGGAGGTCTACAGAAGGAGACGAGGAGTATTCAAGCAGACACACGAAGGGTTACGAAATGCACAACTGTAATTGAGTTATTCGGAGTTTTGTCAGGAGCTTGGGAGGGGAGACTTGTAGGCCTTTAAGGTCATAAGAAGTAAACCAGCGGACCAAAAATGATTAAAATCGCGTAAAGTTACTCGTTAAGCTGTTCATGGAAAATATCAAAATGTTTTTACGAACTTTAAACTTGCTCATTTGTTTTTCTACAGCGAAAAAGGCTATGCTGTGAAGTCGCAGTAGTTCAGATAGCTGTGCATGCAAACGGTCGCTCGCTTTGCGATTTCCTCCTTAGGAATCCGTTTCTTCGGACAAACGATGTGACAAACGGTTGACAAAGTGTAGCTTGCCCAGAGGCCGATCGTAATCTTCCATTGACATGCGCCGATTAAGTTGCAGTGGCGTTTTCTGCATTTGCAAATTGCTCACTGAGAGTAAAAATGCATGGAAAAGTCAGTTGTGCGTTCGTCTTAATTTGGATAGTATGAGATATTCCAGGCATATTTCAATGAGATTTTTCTGAATTCGGTCAATTTCCCCTACTATGAGAAAAGAATGCGCATTTCCGATGAGTACGACAAATGGGTCCAGGCTGAACACAACTTATGTATCAAAACTGCATATTGCAACCTGTAGCAGGAAAAAAAAACAGAAAAAACTCATGTGGTACAACGATTTGTGAAAAAATTTCATACTCATCCATTTGGAAGAGGCAGTTTCAAGTTGTTGTAGTACGCTGATCACAGTTATTTGAACTTTACTGGCTCAGAAAACCGCACCATGTGACTGAACGTAGTAGTGCGGCTGCTGGTGCAACATTATTAAGGTTTTCCTTGAGACATTTCGCGAAATACTTCCCAGTGTGATTGTCAGACGATTGTATGCAGTTTTTATCTCAGTACAATAACTGGGGTGAAGATACAGAATATCAGCAATTTATTAGTAACAGTGCCTCAGTTTTTTGGGCCACGCAACCGTGTTTTTCTCCCCACTAGTAGGGTTTATTCCTCCCCCGAAGCCAGCAGAAACCTGTAAGCCTAAAGCCGTCATTCCTTCCTTCCTTCCTTCCTTCCTTCCTTCCTTCCTTCCTTCATTCATTCATTCATTCAGTAAGCCAGATATTCTGTCAGTCAGTCGGTTAGTCACCTATCAATCAGCCGGTAGTTGATAGTAAGATGTTGCATCAAAGTTTGCTCCACGTCTCTCAGCTCCACAGACATAAGCTCTTCTGTGCAGCAGGATATCATACTTTCAATGCCAGCTGGTGTGCAGAAGGAGAACCCGAAACTGTCCAGTTTGTTCCGACTGTTTTAGCATTACAGCGAAAATAATTGCACAATGATAATTGCTAAAGGCTAACTGACAGGGTGAATAATGGATTTAAGTGGAGTTTCCGGTTCTTGAACATTTCAGAGATTATCTACGTTCGCCGTCCTTCGTTGACACAGAACGAATAAATTGAATATGCGGTGCTGCTTTAGAATTTTCAGCATTCAAACGCGCGCAAAACTTAAAGTGCCTTATCTATGGAATCTCGAAAACGTGTCCGTTGTTTTCTGATTATCAAGCAGACCCGTTGTTGGTTTCCTGAGATGGGTCGCGTATAGGAAAAAAACTCAGAGGTGGATTAGTCGGGTGACTTCCAGGTCTAGAGGCAGTTGTGGGTTTACTGCTCACATTTTTCAATGTGGGTGACATTTGTTTCCTAGCTTCTTTGAAAGGGTTGTATGGCTTATTATTCACCTTGAACTTACAACAGTCCTCACAGTTAATCCGCAGCAGCATCAGGCTGTAAAACCAGTTGCCATAGGGTTCGACGAAATTTCGATGACCAGGTACTTTTTGGGATTTGACAACCAAATCTCGAGAACGCTGGCATACATGAAGCAAGGGAGCGCCAATTGTTATCAGCGCTAACCCGTAATGTTTGAACGACTTTGTGCTTACAGTCGCTATTATCGAAGCTCATCATTCAAGCGCGAACATGTTTACCCACGAGGGTATATCATCAGTTTGGCAGGTTGGTAGATAATAACGAAAATTGCGGTTCTATTTCTCTGGGACAAACGAAATTTAAGTGAATGGACTTATGAACTGCTACAAACTTGAATGCATCTCTGCACGACATACTTGGATGCTCTCGTGCAAACAGGTCATTTCAAAAAGCTTGAGTGTATCGAGTACAATCCTAGCCGTGCGCACTTATGCAGGTTTCAGCTATATCTATTCACGTGGAGTTTTGGCTTACATATTTCGCGGAACTGCGGCTTTCGCTGGGCACTCAAAGCATAGCGTCAGTGGACCCAGTGAAATGAATGATGCAATTATGTGAGTTAAAACATCATGCTTCGGTCAGCAGGTCTCTAGTTACTTATTGGTTTGTCTTATTCCGTCCGATTTATATAAGATGCAAAGATCTGCAGGTGGTTGCCCGCAAGTTGTGTTTTAACAACTAATGCTTTGCGGATCCGTCTCTGAAGCGAGCCAATCATATTACGATTGTCACGCACGGTAATTGTGCTGCTGGACACTGGAATTGTCAGCTATACTGATGTGAGAAAGTAATTGCTACTGGGTAGTGCTCGGTTCTGCAAACAGGGTGTCGCATAACCGAACTTATACATATAATGAAACACGCGTAGGCAGAACCGACAAACGGACTGTGGTTTGAGCACGAGAGTGTCTGTGCTTTGGTATCAAAGTTCTGATAACTCGATCCTATGCCCTTGGGGTCGATCCGAAGGTCACACGGTTGATCATGAGACACTCAATCAAGACAGGAGAAAGTTGATGCTGAAGGTATTCAAAATATAAACTTTCCTCTTCCAAGCATTATGCTTAAAAAATATAAGTCACCAAAGCACGCTTGAAAACCTAAACAAGAAGACTGGGCTCACTCTGGACTGAGGGCTCTCATTTTCAAAAGTCGTCGTGCGGTTAATTCTAAAATGCCAAAAGCAAGCTTTTTGATCCAACAGCGATACGCTGATTGTGTTGAAAAGAAACCATGGTAAGACTTGAAACAAACGCATCCGACACTTTTATCTTCATTAAATTCCAGTATGGTTCCAATGATACTGGGTGGTATTACACAGTTCCTTCAGGTTGTATACCTTTGTATAAGGTTATGAGATCTGTGGGTAATAATCTTGGACCTTTTAAACAAGTAATAATGCTTGGTTTGTTGTACGTATCCTGAGTGTGGCACATTCCGACGCCTTCAATTTTCAGCCAGCCTTTCCAAAGACAATAAGGACAAAGATGACAACAACTCTAAAGACCGCCATTTAGAATCCGCTTGTTAATTTTGTCACACAACCAAAAGGTTATAAAATAATTTCGTCCGAATTCTGGTTGGTGCATGCCCAAAATAAATACTACCGCAGTCGAAAAATTGACCTGTCGCATTAATAAACTGGTGGCGATCAATCTTATACTAATATTTATTGAATTGTACATCAATATGTTCCATTTGAAACTTCTGTTAAAACCGAATTAGCGAATTGCCCACATTTTGGGTTCAAGTAGAAATGAAAGTTGACGTAAGTCCGAGGAAAACGTCTACGTACTGAGTCGAACGACGGTCGATTAGTTTTGGCAACTTTATAAGTGGTGTACCCCGCCTCCAAATTGAACATGCTATTGCGGGCTTTTCAATCGGTGATAGCCAATACTTTTCACCGCGTCGTTACAGGTAAGATGTCAAGCTTGCGTAAATATTACGCAAAACATGGTTTTCAAATCATTCCAATACGTCTAGAACCGTGCTTGTCCAGAAAGATTCAACTTTTTTTACTAATCGAAGACCTCTCGTATTTTTGTTTACCTGAAGGCAATTTTTTTGCAGCTAACTATAGACTAACTATAGACGATGTGAACGTAAAGGTACTGAATACCATGACACAGTGGAACATTAGTCAATCCAAGACCTCATGCACTGGTTCCCGGTCCTCAGCGTATTCCGCTCAGTTTGTTTTAAGTTAACATTGATTCTTAGGTCAGTTATCGAATGAGTTACCGTTCAGTAAGAATATCGCAGAATGACAAAGAGGATCTCGTAATGTCAGAATAAGCAACTCACAAAGTCCGATTCCTTGCAGGAAAAACTGCATGCTTGTTATCACTTTGTCCGGCTGAAACCGAAAAAAAACCATAGGACAACCGAGCCAAAACTCTCCAAAGATTGGTGGGTTAAAATCTCACCTGCTAGTTTAACCAGATGTCACACTGATGAGTTTGTCAGATTCGAAAGAATGTGCATAGGAAACCTGTTGTAATTTATACGCTGCGTGATAAAGGGAAAAACCGTCAATATTTTGTTGAAAATCATTGTATGCTGAGTTTGCAAAATTCGTTTGCTGGCTTTTCGTAGGTAAGGGTTTTGATCAACAGTCCTGAAATTCTGCGGGCCAAATGCATCCAGGCGTTCCCTGTGGATTTGACACCAGCGTAAAATACTAAATCCTGACCATGTAAATACATCATGAAAATGTTACTGTGATTCGGAACAAAAATCTGGCCGATCATTTCTTTGGATGTCATCTGAACTCTTCGCTCTTGCCAGATAAACAGAAAACAAGGTGACACCACATTGCGTCGTTATAAAGCATAACTGTTCGATGCACCAATGGAAACGCACTCTCACTGACACCGGAACGCCCACTGCCGCAATACCCAACTTTGCCTTGCAACGAACGACTAAAGATGTCACCTCAACTGGTGACACCTGCAAAGTGATTCCATGGAAAACTAACAAAGCAATGACCAGCTAGCTAACCTCAGCCACTAGCATCCCCCTAAATAACACCCTCCCACGGACTGAAGCTATCCGATGGTTTATCGGTCTGAGGCTGATGTGATGTGATATTGAGTCTATACCCAAAGAAGATAAGAAATTGATGGTACCAAGCCAGACAATCTTATGACCATGGAAGATTTACGGTAGACCGCTTTGACTATTACAGCACCGAGAAAGACCTTAACCAAGACAATCACGTGAACATATTCGCTTTAAACACGCAACTACACAAATAAGGCAAGTAAGGTCGAAAAATGTAATAAATGTTCTTAGCACTACTACATTAGACTACGTAAGCTATTCCAAGTACCCCTAAGAAGATCAGGGTAACACAGCAAAAACTTAATTTGGATATACAAACGTCAGTAAGTGGGAGACCCTTGAAGATGCTGAAATATAAAGCCCGTGCACATGCAGCATGGGTAAAATGCTAAACCGAGCAGTGTTTTCCAAATATATCCTGGGTATATGTGGCCCGCTCACTTCAGTATCAGAAGCACGAGTTGGTTTGTATTGCTACAACAGACAACGCATTGTCCCAAAACACTGCATCAACCCGATCGCCTCACCGGAAATAATTACGAGGACTAGCATACTTACATGATACATGGATTAAAAAGGTACAAAAAGGCTGCCAAACATAGGCCACAGAATCAGTTTTGATTAGCTCAACACAATTAGCAGCATTATAACAATCGGTTGTGATTATTTCATCATATCATATCATATCATATCATTACATCGCGCTTTTGTCTACGTATGGTATCATACAATCCATTCAAAAGCCATGAATTTACTCCGTGTCATACCATATCCATTGCATACAATTCAAAGTGACTCACGCGTTCTGCTATTACATTTGCAACCCCATCGATGACAAAAAATTCGCGTGTAGTTAAACGACCTTCCGCGTGCTTTTGCGCTCTCTGAAGGTCCTCAAAGAGCTGTCGGCAGGCTCGACGTTGTGAAGACAACGAACCGGTAATTAACAAAACGGGACATCTGGGCATAAAAGTAGAAACGCATAACCGTAACTCCGGAACGGTTATGTGGAGATATCTGAAATCCCCATAACGGAGAGTATACTAACTAACAAGTCGATAGAGACTTGCCACACGAAGTACCGCACGTTATATGATGGCGTTTAGTGGTGCTATAATGTCGTGAGCCGACTCAAAATCTTCTGATCACTACGCGAAAACCTCGTAATACACTACTCACAAGGTTGCTGAAAATTCGTCGACAGCCCACGATCGGTTTCGCCCTTCTTGGGGCACATCAGGTAGACACAGTCCTCGAGTTTCTGTCAACCTACATCACCATCTACATCACAAACGGGAGATTCAGCTGGGTTCCATGTGGGTCTCTCAAAAAACCAAATGAGTTTGCAAATGAGTGTTATCTCGTATTATTCGTGCTTAATAACACTGGTTTATATATGTTTGTGCTGAATGAGCAAAAGAGAACGTAGTCTTTCCATAAAAGAAATAAGGTTTCTGAAAACTCTTCGACAACTAAGAGAGCAGAATCAGTCTCGATCAGAACGATGTTGTCGATGTCCTGAAATACATGGTATGATACCACATATTCTCATAAAAGTGTAAATGTTTTCAATCCATCTGGCATGGGATTTACAAGTACATGCCACACCATATAGGTGAATAGAATCCTTAAAGTGATTTGTTAATTCTCCCTGCGCATCCAAAGAGATTTATTAAGTAATCGCGCTGGTCTATGTCCTCTAGAGACTATGCACCTTCGTCAAACATCATGACACATTTCAAAAACGAAATGGGTTATAATTTGGCGCAGTGCGGTAATCATGGCCGGATAATGTGACTTTGAGTTGATCATTTGATCTTTCCTATCGTGAACCAACTGGGCGCCACTATTAACCTTAAGTAATCTTAACTGATGCGTAAAATTCGGTTCCCTTGTGCAAACAATTCTAAGCCATTTGGTTTGTGGATAGCCGCTAGATTCTTGCGAAATAGGTTCGGTAGGATCCAAGCTACTGGTGGCCGGAAAACTTTGTCTAGCGTGGTTTTACGCTGCTCAACATTGGTTCTCTAGCGATTACCCTTGCTCGGATAGTAGACTTGTTTTGGACCTAACGGTTTTATAAACACATCAACACATGAGCCATTCGTTCTAGCCCTTAAGCAGTGACTGTACTACCCCTTTATCTAGGTACCACTTGCAGTTTGGATTAAGAAGCTCACATTCTACTGTGCTTGGCGTCGGTTTAACTTACCAGAGAATCGGAATCAGTACAAGTCGTTAACAAGCATCGCGTTTAACGTGCACATTTCACCTAACGAGGCGGGGCATGCGACGCAACAGCAAGAATTCGAGACAGACTATGGAGTTCATACTATGAACAATAACATTTTACACCGCATGTCTGAGTAACAAAGAGTAGAAGTAAACAGTAAGAGTGACTGCTAGTTAGACAGATTGGTTCCGAAACCAAGTATGCCGTCGTCTAAATGTATCCATCCAATACTACATTAGATTGCAGCACATTGCATTGCAATGTAAAAGTTCTCCTTCATACTTACTTAAGTCCAGCTAGGTTGTCAGTCAAAGTTTTTCGCCTTCAGGAAAAAAAAAAGAAAATGAGGAAGTAGTGTAAGATAACTAGAGAATGATAGTGTGGCCGCTGTGTAATTACTCAAGAATGAGTGAGTATTTTGTCAGTTCTGAAGCAGCTAATTTATCGTCAGCATATCGTCAGGATATGTTTATCGGAACATCAGATTGTTTGAAACATTTCACAAAGCTATCCAGACGATTAACGGACATCTACTCTCGGCACGAAGCTAAACAGAGTGCTGATGTGCATTGTAACGTAAACGAAACAACAATAACACATTACGAACTCCCAAGTAACTTCGAAGTTCGAAATTACGAACGGGTACTTCAAAGAATTCATTAGAGGTTCCACCAGCGGCATTCGTGGTACCGTACTGAACCCAGTGGGTTTTATTGGGAGACTAGCAGTCCGAACGATTGTTGTCCGATTTCACTTTGTAGAGCTTTGTACGACTTTGGTATACCTTACTAACTTGAGTTACAATTGGGTTACAAACCAGCATGCGAAGTCAGCCATTGCTAAAATATCGATTAAGTTACAACTTTCTTCTCCTTGTTGCAGCTCACGGCGATGCACGCCTTTGATGGATTCGAAACAGCAGGACCTAAATTTGTAGCTGGTCGGCCACCAGCAGCTGACCATCATTTTGAATAACTCTAAATTAGTATATCTTTGTAATGTACTACTCATAAGGTTGCTGAAAATCCATCGACAACCCACGGTCGGTTTCGCCCTTCTTGGGGCTCATCAGGTAGGCGCAGTCCCCGGGGTTCCGTCAACCTTATGTTCTACTTCAAACCGAATTGCACAACATTAGCGAATATACACTCATTTGCAAACTAATTTGGTTCTTTCGAGAGACTCACCTGGAACCCAGCTGAATCCCTCGTTTATGTTCTCAGGCAACTGAATGTGCTGCACTAGGCTGCCTCATATTTCAGTCGCTACAATATTTGAAATATCGCGATACATGTATATCTCTGTAATGTACTACTCATAAGGTTGCTGAAAATCCATCGACAGCCCACGACCGGTTTCGCCCTTCTTGGGGCTCATCAGGTAGGTAGTTCGTAGCGACTGAAATATGAGGCGGCCTGGTGCAGCACATTCAGTTGCCTGAGAACATCATAAATGAGAGATTCAGCTGGGTTCCAGGTGAGTCTCTCGAAAGAACCGAATTATTTTGCAAATGAGTGTATCTTCGCTAACTCTAAATTAGGTTAAAGTAACGCCCAGCGTTCTGGCACACTGCGCGTTGACTGGTTACCCGAGTGACAGTTTCTCAGACGGACGGTCCATACGACTTGTGGGGCTGAGTTAGGTATCGCTTTTGGTATAAGCGTACAAGCTGCACAAGAGTTTCAGTATAGTGAATCCCGACTACCATGTTGGGTTTCGTTTCCCTCGAAAGGCTTTCAGTTGGCGGGGAATAACATCGTTGTCTTTGTACGTTTCGTTTAGCTGTTAAAGTGCTACCAAAGACATGAGTAACCAAGCTGGATGGTTTATTTCTATAAATACGCTCAGTGGATCAGATTTATTTTTTGGAAACTCTACCATTGCGCTCAATAAACTTCTGTTTCTGTTCATGTGCCACGCATGAGTTTTTGCAACTATCGCTAGTTTCGTCAAACTAAGAACTTGGATTGTTTACTTTGCTTCTTGTCTTTGGGAAAATGAACACATTAATTTTGGGAAATGGTAATAGTTATGCCCACGTTTCTACGCTAATATGGTATTACTATTCTGCTCATAAAATAGATGAAGCAAAAGTGCTCTCCCTAATAATGTGTAGATTAATGAAAGCGAGCAAGAAATCGATGGCGATAAAAAAGGGGATCTTATCTGTTGTCTGTACAAGGCTAGATAATGTTGAAAATCCCGTCAGTGAACCAAAAAATAGCATAATTACGGAAACATGTTACAGGATGAAATGTTCACATAAGTTGAGTTACTTGCGTCGAAGCCAACCATATTTGCCTTAAAAGTACACAGAACAGGTGTGTAGGGTAGCACAACAAACCGCAAAACGATCAAGGAAAACTAACGATGGGATGAACACGTTGACAAGGTTGGTGAGTGTTGCAATGTGCTATCGAACAGGCAACTTCGCGAGCATTTCGTCTTCATTTTAATTCAAGCCGTGCTCCAAAATAATGCCTAGATTTCTCACCTTCCTGATTGCTCAGTTTTCGCGCGAGCGATTAGTCGTAACATCACAAACATTTCTATCTGCGACTGCCTTGGATACGCATTTAGACTTGACATGTAGCAAACTATACTGGCTATGATCTTGAGAGAGTAAAAGCTGTCATTCCTCTCCTCTAAAGCAAAAAATACCCCCATAGAAGAGTTCCTTTACGGTGCGAAGCACTGAAACAAGCGAACGAAGCCACCAGTGTTCCATTGACGTTGCACCCTAAGATTGCAGTTAATAAGGTACAACCTCCATTACTCGACCGCTTACACTACGGCAATGCAGACTGGCACGGTTACGAATATAACGTTGCTTGTAGTTCAGGGAGGTTGAGTAAAATATTCAGAAACTATGTTCCTAGTACTGACCGTGGCATTCGTCTCAAACGAATCAGTGTATTCTTTCCGTATGTTATATGGATGCGATCTAGTAAGTAATCCACGTTTCCGACGACGTAGAAGACGGAAACCTTCGGGGGTAAGCAGCGCCCACCGCAGTGTTGCACAGTCGTAATGGAGTTATGTGTGTGCATGTGTAGCTTGCTTTGTAGTGTAGTACCCAACCATTATAGCAAGATGAGACTTTGGTGAACTTGTTTAGGTAAACCCAGTATGCAATACCAAAGTTTTTAATTTTCACTTCACAGACATTGTTGTCGAGGCAAACAGACGTCATCAAATGTGGTTATTTTCGGGCGGGTGATCTGCCCTGTGCTTTTAGACAATCTAGATTAAGCGTACATAGAAGACAAATGTTAAATAACTTACTGCATATAGGATGAGATAAACCTATTAAGGTTCTTAGGGTTGATTGAATGACGCAAGTTTTGCCGAAAGTTCTCGACCGCGTTTCGAAGTTCCACCTCACTATCCGTATCCATTATCTAAAAAAAGAAATAAAAACAACACCCACGCTAAACTAGTAGTTACTTCCTGGCGAAAATACCGCGGTGTGTCACAACAACGACGTTGAAGGGTGTAAAATTTATGTAACCAAACAATATACAAAGGATAGGTGGGTACATCCAGCGTAGTCATACATCTCAAGTCGAATCAAGGCTAAAACATTCTCTCGCATTTGAAGTGTGTCAACTAGGGTAGATCAGTGGAAAATGTATGCATCCAAACATTGCGTGTTCGGCTTGCGGGATGTATCAGTAAGAAGCGTAATGCTTGTTAACACCTAGTGAAAACTTTTGTTGGTAATTTTAAACCAGCCATCCCTTTGGAAAAACTTGGTGGGCAAGTGAGTGCCTATTTTTACTAATGGCTGTGATTTTAATGAAAATCATTTAGTTCAAATAGCATGCACATTGGCTTGAAAGACCAAAACAAGCAGAAGAATCAGTTACGTGCTAGAGTTCTGTTCAGTCACAGTTAAAATTGAGGGGTATAGAGGAAGGATATTGTCAACATTAAGGTATAAGACGTAATGATATACCCCAACGAAGCCGAACAACCGTTACAGAATTTCGTTTCCTTCCACATCTATTTGTATACGGAAATAAAGATTTTCCATTTTGGGGAACACTAGACACTCCAAAGGCTTTTGATTCTCAAACGAGCCATTAACGGGCCCCACAAATCATGTGATTGGTTTCATTTTTCGCAGGCCCTCGCAGAATTAAGACCCGTGTCTGGCATCAAGTAAAGGAGCACAACAAACATGAAATTGTATTAGAAGGTACGAACAAGTCCTTGGTCGCCGGACTGAGACCTATGAAAATTACTTTTGTTTGTCAACGAACATGCACTCACTTATAAAATGCAAAGCAAAATGGTGGAGGGATATAACACAGTTTTATGTACCTAGTGAAAACTCTAGAAGGATGTGATCCAGGTATTATTTAAGGGATTTTCGCTTGGGATATTTTGCCAAAACACCCTGTCTACAATGGTTTTTGTGTGTGAAATTTTTTCCGGTACGATGCTGTCAGTATAGCCTGTAAACGCACATTTTAACTGTTAACATAAACCATATTAAAATCAACGAGCAATGGCAAATGGCAATAAAAGTGTGCAAAATAATGTTACTTAGGGTGGTTATACTTTACCGTTTTAATGATCTGAACCGAGCCGAAAAGTCATATGCAAGCATTTCGTGTTGGCTACCAGCACAAAAAATTACTAACCGATAACTTGTACAGTAAGAAAAAGTACCTTATTGAGTCTTTGTAGGAATGAAATCGTGAGCAACTTGTGCACTTTACTTTACGTAGAAGACTGTTATAATGCCATCGGATTTGACAGACTTCATTGAGCATTCTGTTCCAGCAAATACATCATATATATATATAATATA